AGTCCCAAATCTGCATCCCGAATCCCAAATCCGCATCCCGAGTCCCAAATCCGCATCCCGAGTCCCAAATCCGCATCCCGAATCCCAAATCCGCATCCCCAATCCCAAATCCGCATCCCGAGTCCCAAATCCGCATCCCGAGTCCCAAATCCGCATCCCGAGTCCCAAATCCGCATCCCGATCGCATCCCGGCCCCGGCATCCGCATCCCCAATCCCAAATTCGCATCCCGATCGCATCCCGGCCCCGGCATCCGCATCCCGAATCCCAAATCCGCATCCCGAGTCCCAAATCCGCATCCCAAACCCGGCATCGCCATCCCGATCGCATCCCGGCCCCGGCATCCGCATCCCGAATCCCAAATCCGCATCCCAAACCCGGCATCGCCATCCCGATCCCATCCCTGCCTCGGGAGCCGCATCCCAAACCCGGCAGCCGCATCCCGAATCCCAAATCCGCATCCCGAATCCCAAATCCGCATCCCGAATCCAGCGTCCCCATCCCGACCCCATCCCACCTCCGGCATTCGCATCCCAAACCCGGCATCGCCATCCTGGCCCCAGCCCGGCACCGGCATCCGCATCCCGAATCCCAAATTTGCATCCCAAATCCCCATCCTAAACCTGGCATTCCCATCCCGGCCCCGGCATTCACATCCCGAATCCCAAATCCGCATCCCAAACCCGGCATCGCCATCCCGGCCCCGGCATCCGCATCCCGAATCCCAAATCCGCATCCTGAATCCCAAATTCACATCCCAAACCCGGCATCCCCATCCCATCCCCATCCCAAGCCCGGCATTCCCATCCCGACCCCATCCTGGCCCTGGCATTCACATCCCGAATCCCAAATTCACATCCCAAACCCGGCATTCCCATCCCAGCATCCGCATCCCAAATCTGAAATTCGCATCCCAAACTTGGCATTCCCATCCTGGCCCCATCCCGGCCCTGGCATCCGCATCCCGAATCCCAAATTCGCATCCCAAGCCTGGCATCTGCATCCCAAATCCCAAATTCTCATCCCAAACCCGGCATCCCCATCCCATCCCCATCCCAAGCCTGGCATTCCCATCCCGAATCCCAAATTCACATCCCAAATCCGGCATCCCCATCCCGAATCCCAAATTCGCATCCCAAGCCTGGCATCTGCATCCCAAATCTCAAATTCGCATCCCAAACTCAGCATCCCCATCCCATCCCCATCCCAAGCCCGGCATCCCCATCCCGAATCCCAAATTCACATCCCAAATCTGGCATCCCCATCCCATCCCCATCCCAAGCCTGGCATCCCCATCCCGAATCCCAAATTCACATCCCAAATC